TTTGGGGTCCGCGGGGAGTGGCCTCCCCAGTATATCGAAAGGTTGATGGACGAGGCCGGACCTCCCCAGCTTCCTGTTGCTAAACTCGGGGGCTGGACTGCAGATTCTCGCCCCAAGATATCGCCTCTGAAGTTGCACGGCATTCTTGAACCCAGTTACACCGGCATCGACTTGTTTGCCGCCATGCTCGACGAGGGCCGATTAAGGTACATCGAGTGGTCTCGGCTTACCACTCGTGACAGGAGGTCCTTGGCGCCAGCGAGGCGACGAGGCGTCTGCTATGCCGTGGCCGAGCTCATGACTTTTGAGGTTTACGAGAGTCCCTCATACAGTTCCTCTTCGATGTCTACTGCAGGAGCAGCCCAATGAGGGCTATCAAGTTTATCCTTGGCACAGTTTGCTTTGTGCGATCGCGAAGTGCACTTGCGATTAAGTGATCAGTGTCGTTCGGGCTTCACACTTGGTTCTGACGCCTTGGACCGACATTTGCCGATCGTGTTGCATATGAGGTGCGTGGAGCAGCTGTTGCTGCCTCGCGCGCGTGGGTCTGCAGCTTCAACTACCCGAGAGTAGTCCCCCTTCGATGCCTGCAGCTCTAAAGGACGGGGTTCCGGTGGACTCCCGCGGTTCACCTTTGTGCTGGGACTACAACCTCGGCAAATGCGAACATGGAGATGCTGCAAGTTGCCCTAAGGCAAGCAATGTGCTTTGCATGCCCAATTGCTTTCAGTAGCATCCTTTCATAAAGCATGCTTGACTAGGGACCGCTGCCCCTGCTTCTTCCGTGGCCGGCTTTGGAGTTGAAGCTGCTGTAGATGCTTGTGAGCGCATCGCATGCGATTCGACCACCTCTGAGATGCCTTTTTCTATCAACCTTGAACTTGTTTTCCCCGGTATCTCCCAGCTGAGCATCCTGCTGAGTTGTTCTCTCGCCAGGTACTCCTTGAGAGGTTGCCGACCCGTGAGGACGTTTTGCAATTGTTTGACTTGCTACGCCGTGAGGATGCCTCTCGCGGTGCTCCTATGCCTTTGTCCTTCGGTTGTGGATGTTGGATACAGAATGATCGTTTTGGTCTGATGCGGAACTACCAATTGTTTCCGCTGACTGTGCAGTTTATGAACTCTTTTGTCAGGCCAATTCGACGGTGCCCCAGGTACCCATCTATCGTCCTTTTCTGTGACGTGCAGGCGGAAACATCTTTGTGCTTCGGCCTGGAGGTCGCGAGCCTGCGGCGCTTGACAACATTCAGTGGACGCATGCACCTCCAGCCACGAAGTTTGTTCCTTTAGGACTAATGCCCTGAAAGCGTTTCTTCAGTCTGAGGCTGAGCTCAGGAAAGAGGGAGAAATCTTGCACCGAACATTGCATCCTGAAGTTGCACGTGTCTTGAAAGGCAAACGGCTGCTGCTCTTTCGTAAACTTGCCCAGGCCGCCGCCGTACAGGACGACGGCCTGTTTCAACAGATTTGTGACGGATTCAAAATTTTAGGCTATGCAGAGCCTTGCGGCCAATTCCCCGTCTCTATTAAGCCCGCCTCAATGCCCGAGCAAGAGCTTAAGCAAGCAGCTCCTTGGATTCGAGGCATGGTCAAGAAACCCGCACAGATGACAGACAAGCGGCAGCTCGGACACTATGGGATGAGGCTCTTGAGCAATCGCTGGACGGCCCTGGGTGGCTGTACGGGCCTTGCACAGAGAGTCGGTTGGATGAACTCCTCCCGGAGGGGCGGGTTCCCTCACGCCGCTTTGGCGTTCTACAAGGACATCGACGTCGTTGCCCAAACTGCTCGCAAGTTCCTTAACGCTACGTTGCGGAGTGTACGATCCGGCGGCAGGCAAATAGTGGGGCGGGCGCTTGACTTAAAGTCGGCGTACAAACAACTTGCATCAGCGCCATGCGATGCACGGGCGAGCATCCTGGCTGTGTGGGATCCAAGCGAGCGCAAGTATAAATACTTCCGCTGCAAGCCATGGGGGCGCCGACACCAAAGCATGAGGAAAAGCCTGATACTGCCACGCGTCTATCGCTGCCTGCAAGTGCCATGGGCCAGAGATGGGCAGTATCATCTGCTCGCACACGTCAGTAACAGGATGTTGCAGGCGTCCAGCCTCCAAAACCCTAGCATTCCATATACCATGAAATGGCGAAGCCCCGAACCTGCACATCAGATGAGAAAAGAACTCACAGATATCATGCTGTCGCTTGCCGTGCGTCCATCCGCACGTCATGGCATTCCAAGGAACATTGAAGGCCTTGCGCTGCACCAAAATGGTGCGCCAAGCGGTTTGCCCCATGCCCAAGCTGTTCACCTAAAGACCGCTGCAAGCTAACATCCAAGTAAGAATGTGTACCAAAGCATTGACGTAGCACGTGTTACCAGGATTATGCAAACGTCGGGCCAGCGCTGCTTGTAGTGCTTTGCCAGGCCGTGTCAATGTTTGCGCTCCCGTCGCAACCTGCTGCCCAGGAGCTTGAGCGCACAGCGGGGACAAGCTTAGATGCATGCCAAAACAAGATTGGCAACGTTCAGAATTGGTCTTTGTCTTTTCCGAAGTCTTGAAGACTTCACCTGGCCGCAAAGAAACCCGTGCTAAGACTGAAACAAGTTTTTTGCTTCCATTATGTCCCTTGCATTTCCGCGCAGCCACAGATTGAACGCATTTTCGTTTCAAAATGTCTATTTCCAAACTTTTAAGCAGCATTTCTGAACCATCGAAAGGCTCCCCCCGGCTGCAACTCGACCCACGGGGCAACAGGATAGGAAGATGCTTTAGGCACTCGTTGGTGGGGCATTCGAGCCTTTGTATCGCACTGCCAATGCCAATGATGCCAACAGCCGCCGAAACGAATTCATTGCTCGAATCACTCCCTTGACTTGCTTCAACGAAAGCTTGACCTGCAGTCTCAAAAGTTTTATTGGCTGGATGTTGCTTCGCTTTTGCAACCCGATTATGTGGGCCTTTGCCATGTTTTTTGAAATGACTCAGGAAGGACTGCTGCGAAGTGAAACTTCAGACAAGCAACGAATAATTTAGAATTTATCTGCTCATTTTCCGAAAATCCTGCTCTGAATAGGCCGAATCATGCAGCGGACCCAAAGCAAATCTGGCAAGTATGGCCGTTCCTGTTGGAACCTGATGAATGGTTTCGTTGATGCTTGGACCTCAGACGGATCGTTTACAACCGCAGATGACGTTCGTTTTGAATATGGTGTGAGGCTGAGTCTGCTAGAGGGAGCGTAAATTCGCGACGGCTTTGGTTTGCTACTGTGGCAGGTCGGCTGCTTGATCAGCTGGCAGTTTACTGTGAGATGGCTTGCAGAAAAGGCTATGGGGTGATGTGCGTGGCTAAATTTGTCTCCTTGCTGACGACTTGAGCACGAAACCTTTTTGTGGTTTGCCAGAGACATGCCGTTGCCATTTTCCCTCAAACTGGTTGCTTGATTGAAACGAGAATTCACCAAGAGAGGTGGTCAGTGCGGTCCACATTGGTACCATGTCACAAGCCAGTGATTGCAGACATGGTTAAACTGTAGCACCCAACAGTTGTCATGCAATTGCTGCTTTTGGCTTGTGATCCCTGAGTTGTGCTACACAGTTGAAGTTGAAGGCTGTGATTTAGATCCCGGTTTGACTTGCGACCGCTTCAGTTGTGGCCGTGACAGGCATCATGCCGGAGGCCCAGGGAGAGAAGCGGCCTCTCGACCCGGATCCGGACGACGATGACGACGACGATGATGATGGCTTCGGCCCAATGCCCCAAAGCTGCATACCGCATGATGTCGGAAGGCATGTGCGGCATGTGCTGTTGCACTCCATGTGCTTATGTTGTGTTCGTAGCCAAGGCCTGTGCCAGCGCCGGCACAGACAAAGCCGAAACGCAAAAAGGCTGCGAGCACCCAACCTCTTTGATGACGAAAAGCCTCAGTTGCAACAGCGTGTTTCATTCGGTGGCACATGAAGGTGCTGAAAAACGCGCACGTATACTTGGACAACCTGCCCAAGAGCGAGATGTACGAGAAGATGCTTGCCTCATGTTTGTGTGAATGGACAATCTGCCTGGTTTGGGTTTGCATTGGGCAAAAGGGCTTGTGACATGTCTTCGGGTATTTTGAGACACAGGGCAGTGCTGGGAGGAGTTTCATGCACCGCGACGTGGTTCACTTGGCAGTCTGCAGCAATGCCACGGGGTTTCTCGTGACTGGCAGCGAGGACGGTCACGTGTCTCGGCAACGCATACAGTCGATTCTAGTTTTCGTAAGGCGCCCAGAGTTCGCGTCATTGTCCCCGAGATTTTCTGTTTTTGCGACAGATTTGATTGAGGTGAAGTTCTGGAAGAAGCAGTACGAGGGCATCGAGTTTGTCAAACATTATCGAGCACATTTAGGCCAGACGTTCTCCGGAGAACTTCGAGAATGTTTTGCCTGTCCACACATTTCTCTCAGCCAAGGGAAGCTGCTAGCCATGGTCATCTCGCAGGCCGGGTCGTGTGAAACAGTGCTGAAGGTTGCAACGTCCCGAGCACCCATGCGCACATTCATGGCTATGTCACTGTGGGTCAGTATATTGCACTAGTATGAACTGCACAAGCGACCCACAGGATGGAAGATTGCTCTCCACCATTGGGGATGACAATGCATTGAAGCTTTTCGAGGCGGGCTGCGTCCTTGTAAATGCACCCTTAAGTGTCAGTGTCGGTGTTAGATTTTTGTGCACTCAAGATCCGTTTCTGCTCTGATAGTCGAGATGCGGCGGCATACGCTAAACAGGACCGTAAGAAGGACGCACGAACGGGCGGGTTGTTTGGACCACCACCCACCACCCATCTGCAATGCTTGGTCTGGCAGATTTTGCGACAAGTTGTCAACATGGATTCGTAGCCAGTGGAAGATCCAGGGGATGATAGACTTCAAGACCCTTGCAAACACCTCGTCCTGCCAGGTCTCCCCGCCAGGTTCCACATGTCATTTTCCGGCAATCGCTCTCTCTTTGAGTCCTTGTTTTTAGTGGGGAGTCGACGCCAACACTTATCTGGCTCTTGCAAAATGGCTTTGTAAGAGAGAGCTTGTTGCGGGGGAGGTCACGTCTTTCGACATGATTTGCATGATCAAGCTGAAGTTCAAGCCGCTTCAAGTGGAGTTCGTACACAAGAAGAACGCTCCGACCTCCCTTGTCGCGGTGTCGCGGCCTTTAGTTTCTGGCATGATGCTTCATGAACTTGGCAGCCTGCATCAGTCCAAACATCAACTGGTGACGTCGTGCTTCGACTTGAGGTCGGAATCGGAGTCTGGAAAGGCAGCAAGCCAAGCACAGTCGAGCGTGTTGGTGTGTGGCCGGCCAATTTTTCACTTTGGCCCAGTGATTGTCCAACTGTAAGTCAATTCGGTCCGTGCTGGGCTTACAACCGAGAAGCTTTCGAATCACAGAAGAGTACTTCTGCGGGCGCAGCAGTGCTCACACTGTTGGCATGAGGTGCATATTCTGCAGCCAGAGAGTGGCACCGCTGAGCCTCTGCGGACCCTCGAGGCGCCCTGCCAACAGCGCACCAGAGACATCCCGGTGTCAGCCGAAGCTAAGAGCAGTACCTGCTTGGTAGGTCCATGCCGAACCTGCCCATGCCATCAGGCCTGTTCCGAAGTAATGAGCTGCACGGGAAAGCGCTCAGAGATGCTAATACCACGAAAATTCCCGACCAGTCCACAGATAGACTTTCGCAGTGCCCGTGCCGCTATGCACAGCACATAAATTCGGGAAGCACTTTTGGGCTTTGTTACAACAGAGTGAAGGCTGATCCTCCGCTCAAATCGGTTGTCCACGAAAGCTAGATCTTCATGAGCTTGCGAGAGCTGTCGGTCAGAAAAGGGACCAACAAGACATTTTAGGGTCGTCAGGGCGGATAAATCGGGACTGTGAGACATGCAGGGGGGTGTTTCGCCCTGCCCCTTTGTGATCTTTCAGGGAAGGCACCCTCTCCCCCTCTTTCTCAAAAGCAGAATTGAACAATTATGGCGGCGGGGGGGTCTCCTCCCCCACGCCACGCCAAAATGCCATCCCCCAGCAGTGGCGCTTGTCCGTATGCAGAACTACTGCTCCTGTTGCTACCCCGCTGCAACGAAGAGATGCCGCTAGCTAAGCCCCAGCCAGTCCCACTAGCTTTCGTGGTCTCTTCTCCTATTATGCTCATTTGTGCCGAAGCCACGTTCTCCCCTCCCCTCCCCTCCCCTCC